CCCTCCCGGCGGACGCTCATGTCTCCGAGCAGTTGGTAAACAGATAAGTTGCTAAGTGAGGACTACCTGTAGTCTAAATCAGGGTACTCTCTCCTCATGCCCATGCCACATAAATAATAAATTAATCAATACTTCAAACAAAAAACAATAATAATAAAATGATGCCACCTCTTCTAATTGCACCTTGGAGAGCAGGGGAGGGATGGCAAGGTCTGTATTCTTGTAATACTATTGTATTTTATTTCTTGTAGTATTTGTATAAAACTTTTACTTTAAGCGTAAGAAAGGGAGTGCAGTTTACCTGGTTTGGCCTTCTAAGGGCACTTGTTCATAGATGCCCCTCAGACCACTAGTAACCAGCCCTTCGTTGTGAGAAAGTATCATAAACATTTAGATTATGAGGCCTTCATGTTGTTACCAAGGATGATAAATAAAAATATTGATATGGTTCATATTTGACTTTTCCAAACAGCTAGTGCTATTAAAAAGCTAAAACAGAATATACGAGAACACTGAGAATGCCATCCGACAGATTTGACTTAGGGAAATCGTAGTAATATACAATTAAGTCAAAACAGATTATAAATCAGGGTATAGTCAACTCATGCCCATGCCACATAAATTGTAACTTAATCAACAATGTACATCAAACAATAATCAATAGTAATGACATTATGCCACGTCTACTAATATCACACTGGAGAGCAGGGCTTGAGTTGTCAAAATATTCTCATTTTGCCCATAACTGGCAGTTCTGATATGTTTACCATTGATATACTAAGTTTTATTACAGTGGTATAGCTGAAGCACTACCTTTTAAGTTAAAGGGACACTCAGAGAAACAATATCAGTTGATTTCCACCTCTCCCTGCATATAGTTATTAATATTTTGGCTGATATAAATTGGCTGGCAAATATTTCCAATATATACAACAAATGTTTGCTCTACCCCCAACCCCATCTCTTGCCAAACATAGCATTAAATTCCATTAAAAAAAATTGTGTCTCCATTTTGCTCCTTGTGCCTTAATAACCAGCAATTAATTTACACTAAGACCTACGCACCCACCCGCCCCTCATGATGTCCATCCTGGTTCCTTCTATTTTATAGCATTCTTCTCCAGCTGCTTAAACTCTCACTCTACCACCTCCTCATTCACTTTACGTGTTACTGGTGGCTGCAATTATCTTTTAATTCTCCTCCTTTCTTTCCCCTGCTACCTCTTGTTGCGACTACCCATTTTAACCTTTAGATTGTGAGCTCACGGACTATCTAGCCAAGTACCTTGTATAAAGGTTTTAATGGCAAGGTCTTCGTTACCTTTTGTATCAATCTGTTTATGCTGTACAGAATATATTGGCACTTTACAAATACCTGTGGTAATAATAATAATAATAATTATAATAATAACTCAAAGGACCAAAATAACCTTTGCTTAACAAATTGGTTATGGTGTACAGATTGTGTCCCTGCAGTCGCACATGGAGGCTGTGTGAGTCACAGCCGGGGAAGGTGTAGCTAAGGCTTCATAAACAGAAGCAAACGTGATTTAACTTCAAAATGACAGAGCATTGAGCAATAGACTGAGCTGCATTTGTTTTCAAATGAATTGTGATTTGTATGAATTTTGGGCGATCAATGGTTTATTCGAATTCCATACGTCCAAAGTACCACATGGATACATTTCGAAACAAACCACATGGACAATGCACGAACAATTCATTTGATGATGATCATTGATGAGTTGGAGCTCCGCATGTGGTACTAAAAATAAGTAGATAATTGAGGGGGAAAAGATGATTGATGGTTAGGGGACAGCCGACCAATTTTCACAGATCAAATGAAAAAAAAAAAAACATTTAAATAAATATATTATATATAAAACATGGAGGGTTTTTTACCCTCTTTTTTACCCTCTTTACTTCATCTGTAAAGCAAATGGAGGGAAATTGCAACAGCAAAATCAGTGCAAAATATATAAATGATAATAATATTTAGTAGTATTTATATTGTTCCCACCTACCACAAGAAATAAACCAGACAGGAAAATGTAAAACGAGTAATATTTCACACAAGAAACATCTCATACTTTCACATTTGCAAGATTATGAAATCAAATAGTTTCCACTTCGATGGAGAGAAATCTTAAAAAGAGAAATATCCTGGAATTCAAAGCAGATGACAATGCACAATGAGGGAGTGAAAAAATACTTGGATTTATGACTTGATATAAAATACAGCAGCTGTGCTTTGAATCGTGTCCTAAATTTATCCATTTGTTTTTTTCATCACAAATCGCAACGAGACAATACAGAGATGTAGAGATAGATATGCTATTGACAGTTAAATTTAAAGATGGAATAATCCTGGTCCAAAACAGAACCAAGCCATAGAACTCGTGTGTCCTTTCTAAGAAAAATACTTTGCAAATTACTTATTATAAGGTTACTCTAACCAAAAACTGTGCTTTAATAAAACACTGTTTTTAGCTACTGGAATATTGTAAATGTGCAGACTATAACACAATAAATAGACAAGACGTATACCGGATCTTAGAGTGGCCAGGTTAATGGTAGAGTAGTCCGACTGAATGCCGAGGTCAAGGACAAGAGAGATGCCCATAAACGATATAACAAGCCAAAGTCAAAGGATACCAGAGATCAGTAGAATTTAGTAAACAGACAAAAAAAATCAGAAACCAGGAACAGGAAATACAATGAACGCACTCTTGGAATACTAGAACCACACACGGCAACAAGGAGTCAGAGCAGAGGCATAATTAAAAACGACCGGGCTCCAGTGCAAAAATTGCCCTAGTGCCTGCCTTATGTCTCATCTCCCCCAGCCCCTCTATGTGTGTTATCTCCCCCAGCCCCTCTATGTGTATTATCTCCTCCAGCCCCTCCACGTGTCTCATTCTCTCCCAGATCCTCCATATGTCTCATTCCCTTCCCCCATCCCATCCATGTGTCTCATTCCCCCATCTCCTCCATTTGTCTCATTCCCCCATGAGTCTTCCATGTGTCTTATTTCCCCCCTGCCCCTCCATGTGTCTTATTCCCCCCCCTAAGTCCCTCCATGTGTCGCAGTTTTTGCAATAATAATGTGTGCATAATTAGTGCAGGTTAAGGAAAGTAATTAAAAATAAATTCATTTAGTTGTTCTGATTTTCAGAATATATAATGTGTCTGTGATTTTAAGTTTTTTTGGTAGTTACAGGTCACAAAGCACAAGGAGTAAAATAAACTTTTAATGTGGAGCGATTTTAGAATTTGGTATGTTTGTCTTGTAAGCTTAATAGCCATAAAAGAAAACAAAATTGCCACACAAAAGTATATATTTATATAAAGTAGACATCACAGGCTATTTACCTAGGGTTGTTTTGACACTTTCTACGTAGCCATTTCACTGCCAACCTCTGCTAAATATTGGAGTAAAATTGTGGGGGGGTTTTGTTTTTGGCACACAAACTTATAACAAAGAAATTCTCATGTGTATTTTGTAAAGTTGGTGTGTGCTATTCCTGTACAAAGTTTTTTATTTTGTGTTCAGTTACATCTGCTGAGTAAAATGACCCCCCCATTGTATGTCTTTGGCACTATTTCGTGAAGTTACAGTGCCATATAGGAGGCCTGTTCTTTTCAGTATTCACAGTAGAATTTTGAGAGACGGATTTAATGAGCCTATGCTTCTATTTGGGGCATTTTGTATATTTCACATGTGCCACTAAGTTCAAACCCCCCAAATTATGATCAGCTAAGTCTTCTGAGTAAAAAGACACCCCCAATGAATGTCTTTGGCACTATTTCGTAAAGCTACAGTGCCATATAGGAGACCAAGCCATATTAGTTTTTACCGAACTTTGAATTTTGACGCTGGGCCTATGTACAATTTCCAAGCATCTTAGCAGGGTTTAAATTCAAACTACCCCACAAAGGCCTACCATTTCTTAAAGTAGACACCCCAGGGTATTTCAAAAGGTATATTTTGAACCTTAGCATGGGATCATTTTTCCGCTAGCTTGTACCAAGTGTAGTGGTAATAAGTGTTTTTTCTGCCTTTTTGACACACAAAGTGAGTTTGCACAGTATATTTTGCAAACCTTATGTGTGCTACGACTGTATAATACTTCATATGTTACTCAGCTATGTCGGCTAAGTACAGCAATACCACCGTATGTACGTTTGCCAGGTATATGTGGATGTTGAAGGGGCGTATTTGAGACGCAGCAATTCAGTTTTTTTCTAACTTTGAAGTTTTACGCTGTGTCCATGTTCCAGTTTGGAGTAGTTTAGACGGTTGGTTATTGAAACTTCCCCACAAACACAAACTATTTATTAAAGAATCCACCCTGGGGTAATTCAAAAGGCATATTTTGAACCTTAGCGTGGGATCATTTTTTCTCTAGTTTGTTCCAGGTGTAGTGGTAATGAGCGTTTGTATTTGTTTACTTTTTGAAACTTTTTTTACTTTTAAAAACTAGTTTTTAAACTTTTGTTTTGCTTATTAATTTTTTTAAAACTTTCCTAAACTTTCTTAAAACTTTTTTTACAGATTTAAAATTTTTCGAAGCTTTTTTTTTTACCGTTTTTTGCTCAGAGGGGTCAGCTGACGCTCTCAGCCAATCAGTGGCTCTCCATTCACAAAACGACTTAAAGGGTTGCTTCCTGCTGCACCACATCCCCACAGGCAATGCTTCAACCCCCCCACCCCCTGCGTTGAGCTGGTCACCTCTTTCCTTTCTTTCACTATCCTACTCTTCTTCCCCAGACTTCACCTCTGTCTCGAAATACTACTTGATTGAAGCGTTTGGCGATACAACAACTCAAGCGGCACGTAGAAGCAGAGTCAGTCCAACAGACCCAAATGGTTCATAAAGAACTACATCTTCTTGCTTTGACCTGTCCTTCCATAACACAAGATAGAACTAGGTGTAGTGATGTCGCGAACCGTCCGCGAACTTCTCGCGAACGGTTTGCCACGGTTCGCGGTGAACTCTGGTCAGCTGACACATCCCTGCCAATCTCCGGCAGACCCTCACTCCCAGACTCTCCCACCTCCTGGACAGCATCCATGTTGAAGTTGCCTTCAACATGGATGCTGTCCAGGAAGTAGGAGGGTCTGGGAGGGAGGGTCTGCCGGAGATTGGCAGGGATGTGTCAGCTGACCGGAGTTCGCCGCAAACCGTGGCAAACCGTTCGCGGACGGTTCGTGACATCACTAACTAGGTGCACTGAGAGGGGGAGAAGTTCACAGTCTTTATTGCATAATTTTCTTTTTTCCAATAAAAATGCGATTGCATAACAGGGAGAACCAGTATAGTCACAGCTAAGATGACATTGATACTGTAACCATAATGCAAAAAGATGTCTTGTATACTGAGATCATACTGTAAAAATCTAAATTTATGACCCGCTATCACACAAAAATAAAGAATTAAATTTTTTTTTTTTTTAAAAAGGGTCACTCCAGATCCCTAAACATCTATAGCTTGCTGAAAAGATTTATGTGTGAAGAGTGTGTCCTCTTTTTTCATTTTGCAAAAAGTGCAGAATTCAATAGAAATTTACATTGTTATAAATTAACCTGGTAACACCCACTTGGCTTTCAAGCAGACAACAGGTAATGTTACTTCCTGGTTTCGTTAGCTCAATGCAGCTGACCTCAAGAGGCAGCAATTGCCCAGAGCACCTGACTTACAAAGACTTCTCATTGAGCTGCATTGGAAAGTCTGTAATTGGACAGTCACATAAAGTCTGGGCGGGGTTAGAAGAGGAGGGCTTGCAAAGGCAGCAGACAAGAGAATTACAGGTTTTGCAAGTTGATTTTAGATATACAACCAATGACAAAATACATAACTTAATGCATGCAAGTTTTCACTTAGGGTATATCTACTAAACAGTGATTTTTATTTATTATGTATTTGGGCAGTGGAGTGTCCCTTTAAGAAACACGTGTATTTTTCTCAAGTCATTTTTATGAATGAGTAGCCACGAAATTAAGGATACACAACGAACATCGCAATTCCAACTGAACAAAATAAAGTCTATACACCAACCTTTGGAACCCACTGGATGCCATTTTTTACAGTTCATGAGCCTTCTATACCTGGACCATTTTCACTATATGAGACATTAAATTTGAGGAAGAGGAGGGTAATTGGCCCATTTCCCTCATTCCAAAACTTGTATTAGCAAGTTGTCCAAATTAGCATTTCAGGAGAAAGCTTCCACTGTACAAATACAACAAAGAGAAATTACATATAAAGCAATGGAAAAAGCAGGGTGACAAGCTGTTTGTAAATAAAGAATTTTAGCTTGAAAAATCTTTAAAAAAATATAAACTGTAAAACAAGCTGAAAAGATGGATGGATCTGTGTCCCAGCTGGGTTTATTATGTAGCAGCGACAGACTGCAGATGGGCATTGAAACTTTCTGTGTAGAGAAGATTATTTCCCAGGACCTCCTAGTAAGGAAGAATAAAACATGAATCCCAGTTCAAGAAAACATCATCATACAAATGGGGCTCAAGCCAAGAGAACATTACCTCGTAAGTTTCAGACAAGCCATGAAGAGTTATCATTTGTGGCAGCAGGAGACAGAATTTACCAACGCATATCATAAACTGTGCTCTCCAAGTGTCTGAAGAACCCATGCTGACAGCGATATAAAACCAATACTACGACAACATTTTATTATTATCTCATAACATAAATGACATATGTATTATACTATCATTCAGCATTCAGAGTATTTACTAATCCTAATAACTCGGAGGATATCAATCTACAAAAGTCAAAGATTAGTTACAGCACAAACAAGGGATATTCAAGCTTGTTTTATGATAAGGATGAATTAGGGATCTGAAAATAAAATCCAGCTACGGGAGTTTTTCCAAACTTGATCCGACTATTTACCAACAATTAGATCTCAAAAAAATGGCTTTCAACAGTGTTGTCAGTTACCAGTTTTTACCCTGGGACAAAACTGTTAACAACTAGAACTCAGCTGCCAAAAGTTGTAACAGGGGCGGACTGACAACTCACAGGGATCTCAGGCAATGGGAGACAAAAGGCCCCCTTCTGGTGAAATTTTTTTGGGGGTTCAGTGTGTGGGATGATGCTTGTGATGCTGTGTTCCTGTATGTCAAAGTATTGTGTTAGAATTGTTTGTCTTCTTTTACCTATTGTACTGCGCTGCAGAATATGTAGGTGCAATATGAATGGTTGTAATAATTGCATGCGTGTGTGAGAAGGCTCTATGCAGTATTGGAATGGTGGGGATGGTGCTTGTGATGAGTGTCCGCAGGGAGGCCGCATGTGGTTTTCCATGTGTGGGGATGCTGCTAGTTGGACTGTGTGCATACAGTGAGGCTCCTCATGGGTTTGCGTGTGTATGAGGATGTTTGCAGTTTAGTATGTGGGTGGAGACGGCTGGTTGTGTTGTAGTGTGTGTGGTAGGGGCTGTTGTATGTGTGTGGCATAGGCTATAGTAGGTGTCTGGGGGAAACTGGGGCTGTAGTTTGTGTTCCCTTTGTTTGTACACGTCTGTCTCTCTCGTCCATCTCAACTCACAGCATCTTCCTCAGTTTAACTAGCTGTACCTCATTTACAAAAAAACCTTTCTATTGCATTGCATATCAACCTTTTACTCTCTTTTTCATTAATTTGGTTTAATCGATCTCACTTTATAACACTCTCAACCACTTTAAACTTCTCTTGTTAACTTTGCGCCTCCTTGCCGCACTAAAACACTTTAAATGTTAAAGTCAGCATTGAACAGCGTTCATAGTTCCTAGAATTAATGCAGAGGTTTAACTTGAGCAAAGTTGAAGGCACATTTTAGCTGAGAAATAGAAGATTTTTCGATGGGCTAAAAAGTAACTACTAATATAAAAGTATTGTCTAGCCATAACATATACACCTAATAGGGTGCTGAATTCGGGAGACGTGTGGATTCTGAATTGGTCTTGAGCATTACAAATTATTCAGCCAGTTATCAGAGCTTGAGAATGAAGACTGGGCGTCCTGAATAGTAACTGATAGTTTGGGATTCTGAAAAGACAAATTATCCCAACTGAAGCTGGTCTCCAGTTAAATTTATACATCACCCTAGGAGTAAAAATGAATGCAACCATTTATTTGGTTTACAAAGAGAAAAAAAATCTAATCACTCTCTCACTGTTGAACAAAATGTATACCTTTTATTAATTAGAGAGACAGTTTGATTCTAGACTTCGAGAAGCTTAATGTTGTTAAATGTTTAGTGTAGGCAGTGAAACATGGAATTCTATAAATTGTAGCTCATGGGAAACTCTAAGCACTGACAGACCTGACACTCCAAATGAGACATAGAGTACACATACATAAATCAGGTGGAGCTTCTTAAAATAGTAGTATAACAGATATTCTGTAAAAAAAAATATAGACCATAGTGCAATATAGTAGTAAAAGTTAAATAAAATATGTATGCAGTAGATTTTCCACTCACAAGCCTGGAGTCATAATCTCATATGACTCGGATGGTGTGTGCCTTTGGACTATTCCAGGATGTCCAAAATCCTTTTTCCATGCAAGACTCTGTTGGTGGTCACTCCCAGACAAAAACTGTCAGGTCAGCAATGGGTTTCCACAAAAATATAATTTTATTCCAAATCAAAATAAAAGAATTATATAAAAATAAATAAAAGCTCAAATAGGGCTATATAGTCCTTTAAAGTCCTTATAGAATTGCCAAAACGTGTTTCGCCTGATACCACAGGCTTCCTCAGTCGGCTTTGTGACATAGACATAGAGTACAGACTGAATTTCTGTGTACAATTCTCTTTGTGACTGTTAAGACTGTTTTGCAATTCACATAATAACCAGAAGATGGCATGTATTTAGCAAAGATATGAGGCTAAAAAAGTTACTGTGAATATTGATTACATTAAGAAAAGTTGAAATAATGAATTAAAAAGAATACATTTTAAATGTGTGGTAAAGTTCTATAAATACTCTTCAAGTTAACATTAGAATCACATTTTAGTGTACTTTTCTTGTGCTGTGCGAGCATTGATACACTGAGCTAGTGTCTGTTTCGTCTATGCTAAAAGCTACAACCTTACTTTAATTTATCATTTTAGTTCCGTTTAGTTTTTACAGAAAAGTCAATCAGATGTCAGGCCATGTTTCCATAACGCATCTCAGAACAATGTTGCCAATAGCTGCAGAGAAGACACAGTATTCTTTATTCTTATTGCAGCAATGAAAGGTTATTAAGGAATAATATTCAAGAATTCCTTGAGAAGAACATGGTTATCAGCAAAAATCAGCACGGTTTTATGAAGCACAGGTCATGTCAAACTAACTTGATTGCGTTCTACGAAGAAGTAAGTAGAAGTATAGATCAGGGTGTTGCCGTGGATGTGATCTATTTGGATTTTGCCAAGGCATTTGATACAGTTCCACACAATAGATTAGTGTTCAAACTCAAGGAAATCGGCCTAGATGAAAATGCTTGTTATTGGGTAGAACACTGGCTTAAAAACAGGGTACAAAGAGTTGTCATTAATGGTAAATTTTCAAGCTGGACAGAGGTGGCAAGTGGTGTCCCTCAGGGGTCTGTTCTGGGACCCCTTCCATTTAACATATTTATAAATGATCTTGAAGACAGCATTGAAAGTTATGTTTCAGTGTTTGCAGATGGCACAACACTCTGTAAAATAATACAATGTGAGCAAGATATTACTTTGCTGCAGAGGGATTTAGATAGACTGGGGAACTGGGCACTCAAATGGCAGATGAAATTTAATGTTGAAAAATGCAAAGTTATGCACTTCGGCGTAAAGAATACACAAGCAACGTATACCCTTAATGGAAGCGAATTAGGGATAACAACACATGAAAAGGACTTGGGAATTGTTATAGGCAATGTGCAATGTCAATCAGCAGTGGCCAAGGCCAGTAAGGTATTGTCATGCATGAAAAAGGGCATTCATTCTCAGGACGAGAATTTCATTTTGCCTCTTTATAAATCACTGGTAAGACCCCATATTGAATATGCTGTGCAATTTTGGGCACCTGTTCTAAAGAAGGATATTATGACACTAGAAAAAGTACAAAATTAACAAAAGGAATAAAACATATCAGCTATGAAAAAGGTTAACAAATTTAAACCTATTTAGTTCAAAAAAACGTCGCCTGAGAGGGGATATGATAACATTATACAAATATATTCGGGGCCAATACAAACCATTGTGTGGAAATCTATTCACAAACCAGACTTTACATAGGACACGAGGCCATGCGTTTAGACTGGAAGAAAGAAGATTTCGTCTAAGGCAAAGGAAAGGTTTTTTTACTGTAAGAACAATCAGGATGTGGAATTCTCTGCCTGAAGAAGTGGTTTTATCAGAGTCCATACAGATGTTCAAACAGCTACTAGATGCATACTTGCAAAAACAGAATATTCAAGGATATAATCTTTCAATGTAGGGTAATAACTGCTTGTTTCAAGGATAAATCTGACTGCCATTCTGGGGTCAAGAAGGAATTTTTTTCCCTAGCTTGTTGCAAAATTGTGCTTCAAACTGGGGTTTTTTTGCCTTCCTTTGGATCAACAGCAAAAAACAAATGTGAGGAAGACTGAACTTGATGGACGCAAGTATCTTTTCAGCCTTGTAACTATGTATGTAACTATGTAATAAAGTCATTTAAGGTTTGAACAGATGTTATCTATCTGATCAACAGGAACTAAAGTTGTACTTAAATGACATTAGATGTTATTGAGTTAGAACTGAGAACCAGCCCTCGTGTTAGAAGACACAAAAAGGCTAAAGAAAAATTGACCTACAAATGCCTGTGCAAATGTGATTGGGAAGTTTGACTGGGATTGGCTGAAATAACTCTCTAAATAATTTTTAGTTACGTTACAATGCCCTATATTTTAATCTAGCTTTGAAAGCTGATCAACAACCTTTATGAGTTTATATAACTATAACATGCCATCATAGCAGTCACAATCAGTATAATACTCCAGGGGGGGTGCGAGGGGTGGCCTGTGCAAGGTGAAGAAAGGATGGTGTACACAGCATCCCTCTCCTGGCTCAACACTGCACTAAATGTAGAAGGGGGACCGCGGCAGAGGGTTTTCATACTCCTCTGTCTGATCTGTCTGAGTGGTTCAGTGCATACAGCCTGCAGTGAGTGAAAGGGACAGGATGCCTCCCCTGTCTCGACGCAATGCTCGATCTTGTCTCGATCCAACTTACATAACGTGGGAAAATTATGATTTGGTGATTTGAGAAACTCAACTATTTCAGCTTAAAGGGTCACTCTAGATCCCTTAAAGACTTTAGCTTGCTTTATGTGTTGAGTATGTCTTCTTTTTTTTTTTACAAACAAAAATGCAGATTTCTAAAGAAATTGGCACGGTAATTAATCTGTTCTTCTGTTTCTTTTTCAAGCTGATTTAAATAAATCTTTTATGTATATTTATTCTTGAACCTCGAGCAGCGTGCAGCAAGCAACAGCAAGACCTTGTGGTCATTTGTCGCCTTTTCTATATAGCTATAACCATAATGATGCCAGACCTTTAAATATAACTCTGGCCATATAAAGACAGGACCCCCACTTACAACATTCCAGAGTTATCATGGTACAGCATAGCAAAGTACCATCTATTCTTTTTAACCCATTAAATACCCATGCCTACAATGAATATAAATAGGAACATAGTAATATTCTACAGGCTTTTATAAATTAAGCTTGTTACACCCCCTGGCTGTCAATCAGACAACTGGCCCTGGTTTGGTTAGCTCAGTGAAGCTAAACTTTAGAAGCAACAATTGCCCAGAGCACCTGTCTTGCAAAGGCTTCTCTTTGAGCTGCATAGGGAAGTATGTGATTGGACAGCCACAGAAAGTCTGGGTGGGGTTAGAAGGGGAGGGCTTGCAAAGGCTGTAGACAAGATTTCTGCAACTTTTGCAAGATGTTTTTAGATATACCCCCAATGAAAAACTGCATAATTAAATATATGTATGTATGTTTTCATTTGGTATATATCTAACAAACATTTATTTTTATTTTTTTATTCAGGCAGTGTAGTTTCCCTTTAAGTTTTGCCGGTTCATTGTCCACTCACAATAACTCACTGTTAAGTGAATAGATCCCCTGGTACAGGAGTGCCAAGAAAAGCAAGGACACCAACCCCAAGATCCAAAGTGGCTAGCTTACCATCAAGTACGGCCACTGTAATGCCAATCCAAACGTATGTGTTTGCAGGTAACAACTTATTATTTTTAGATACTGTAGGTTTATTTAACATAGTTTTGGCATGTCTACTCATGTATGTGATAGAATATGGCATCTATATATAGAAGTAATGATTGCGTAATTGTTTATTATTTCAAAGTGACATTTTAAACGCAATCCGTGAGAAGCAAACACTGACTGTACTAAGTTTTCTTGGTGAATTAGGAATGTAATGCTTGAGTGCAGTTGTACACAGGTGTCTAAAAACAATTGGGCAGGGTTTTTTAAACATATTATTTGTAAAGATTGATGGCTTATTGACACGGTGTTAAGGAAAACACAGCAGTGCATGTGCAGTAAGTTTAAAATTGTAAATATATGCGTATTTTATGGGAAGTGAATGGCTATGGGCAACGACTAAACACCAAATTCCCATAAAACGTATAGAAAATTCAGATATCCAAGAATGACAAGAGAATATGCTACTGGAGATAAAACCAAACATAATTATCAGGGTAACTTTGGAAAATGTAACATCAGATATCTATAGTTATTTGTTTTATTTGTTTAATTGATTCTATATAAGCTAACTTTCACTTTTTGTAATCACCTCAATGATGATTTTCTGTGAGTAGCTAATCGAGAGGTTCTCTATTTGTGGCCGGTCAGACCTGATATACTAGCTATTCCTAAAAAATTTTTAAAAAGACTTCTAACTTTCTTACTAAATTCTAGTCAATTTCTGCAGTTCAACTATTTTGACATTCAATTTGAAATCCACTGTGAATTATCTTTGAATTCTCACTATAGAATAATATTAGCATTGGGAATAGCACATTACCTTGGTATATGCCACATTTGATGTCCACTTCAGTTATTGTTCTGGAATTGGCTTCTAGAGTTGTTTTTCACTTGTCCATCTTGATGAAGGCTTCTTTTTTATTTTTTTACTTTATTTATATTTTCAAAAAACATAACAATATAAATATAAAGCTATGCATAATAAATAGAGCTGTATATACAAACAATTCAACCATACAACCACTAACAAACAACATATGCTCCACAAAATATTATTTATACACCGGATTATTTCTAGACATGTGCACCAGTGAAATTTGTTTTGTACGAATTATTTCGTACTAAATAAAAATTTCATTTGTCAATCCCGAATTACATCCGCAAGCCATTCGTTTTCAAACTAAATTTAAAAAAAAAAAAAAATTGTTTTCAACGAAAACAACACTGAGCATGTGCAAAAAAATGTTAGGAGGGAGCCGGCAGCGCTACCAGCTCCCTCCTTGTAATAAATACCCATTCCTCCCCCCTTACATTAACCTACACTATGACCTCCATATTGATAAAAGGGGGTTTAAATCCTCCTGTTCCCCCATGGTGGGGAACACTAATAACAAAAATGTGTGGGACGTAGTGCACCCTTGTATCCCCACTCCTGGCCCGCGGGTGAGGGCTATTAAAATAAATGGGGGGACCTAATGTACCCTCTGATCCCCACCCATGAGCAGCTGGTGGGAACCCTAAATAAATAATGGGGGGACTAAATGTCCCCCCGGCCCTCACCCATGAGCGGCGGGTGGGGCCCCTAATTAATTAAACGGGGGACCTTATGTCCCCCCTGGTCCCCACCCATGAGCAGCGGGTGGGGACCCTAAATAAATAAATAAATAATGGGGCGACCTAATGTCCTGACCCATGAGCGGCGGTGGGAACCCTGATTAAAGGGGAGACCTAATGTCCCCTCTTGTCCTATACCATGAGCGGCTAGTGGGGACCCTAAATAGTGGGCAGGACCTAATGTCCCACAAGTCACGACCGGCGGTCCCCAAACCCCTAGTCACTCCCCCCAATAGAAACACCCTTCCATCTCCCTCACCCTAATAATAGTAAACGAACCCTGTAAAATAAAATGTCATACTTATCATTAGATGTCTACTTTCATCATTTCTTTCCTTGTTCAGCCCCAAAAAAGGCCAAATAAAAACCATAATAATCCTTCCTCACCCATGGAGGGCACGGAGTAGAGTGAGCTCTGCAGGGCAGGGGAAAGGCTTGAAAGCAACCAATCAGAGGATTATGAGTCAAATTACACCGCATGGGAAAATTCAAAAGAACTTTCCCACGCTGTGTAAAATGACACAGAGCACTCTGATTGGTTGGATTTCAAGCCAACCAATCAGAGTCCTGTGGCAGGTAAATGTAGAGATTTACATGTCAGTCTCTTCATTTACCTGTCAGAGCAATCTGATTAGTTGGCTTAAACCAACCAATCATAGTGCTCTGAGCCTTTTCCCGCCCTGTGGAGCTCATTCTGCTCCGTGCCCTCCATGGATGAAGAAGGATTATATATTTACCGGCTTGTTTTTTTGTTTTTTTTAGCTGGTTTTTTTTTTTTTTTTTTGCCACTCGGGTTTCTTTTTATTTTAACAGTTGCGACGGGTATTATGGATTTTTATTTGACCTTTATTGGGGCTGAAGAAAGAAAAGAAGGAAGAAGACATCTAATGATAAGTATGAAATTTTATTTTCTATGGTTAGTTTATTGCCCCCCTTCACTATTATTAGGATGAGGGGGGTAGGTAGGTATTTTTATTGGGGGGGGAGTGACTAGGGACTTGGGGACCCCTAGTCACTTTATTATTTGTGGTCCTCACAAATGGTTTTTTTCGCAGTGTTATTTTCTCCGTGTTGTGGGGGTTAATTCCTCTGCAGCACAGAGTCTATTAAACAAGCGAAACAAAACAAAAAAGGTAATGCATTCGTCAGTTGCCCTTTCGTTTAGTTTATATTTCATATGTAGGACTTACATTTCCGTTTCAGTAAACAAATACGAAAAAAAATGAATTTTCTGACAAAATCATGTTCGTACGAAAACGAATGCACATGTCTAATCATTTCACTTCTATGATCAGCATTCTGGTACATAAATAAACCTATGCAGGTACTCCTCACTTACCGACCGGGTTCCGTTCCTACAACCCGGTCATAAAATGAATTGGTCGGTAAGTGAGGAGCTAAGGGATTCCCTGCTCTGGTGCACTTGTCTATGTTTGAGGAAATTTTCCAAACATAGACATGCGCACCAGAGCAGGAAATCCCTTACATCTGTGGTCACAGAAATTTCCCCGAACATAGACAAACGCAGCAGAGCAGGGAATCCCTCTAATTTCCATGACAGTTTGCACTTACCACCCTGCGAGAGAGCTGGTCATAAGTATGAGCCCTCGTCAAACAGGTAGGTTGCAAAGCAGGACCACCTGTATAGACAAAGACAAAAATATAAAAAAAAAAAAAAAACAGAAGCATAAAACATATATCACAAATCAGTCATCGAGAGTACCAGTGTCCTGATGAAGGCCCTTGTTGACCTTGTATAGAGCCAAGAATTCCAGTATCCATGTGTGTGGCATTGTGTCATAGGCTTTCTTGTAGTCAATCCAGGCTATGGACAGATCCTAGCTACTGAAGACGTACAAGGGTATGCCCATACCAGAGGCACTGGAAACAGCTAAGCAAAACCTGACAGCACTGGCAAACAGATTGAGCAGATACACAAGAGAAGCAGAGGCTAAGAGAATGAATGCCCTGTTTACTGCAGAACCAAGACTGAATAGTATTGGAAGAACATCTGGAAGAAAGAAGCATCACATAACACCAATGCCAAGTGGCTACTAGACCTTAAAGCAGACCACTGCATGCTCCCAGAACAGGAACTAGTCATCATACGAGTGGGAGATATTCATGAAAGTGTAGCCCAAATGAAGAGTTGGTCAGTCGAAGGACCTGACATAATCCACACCTACTGGTTAAAGAAATTAACAACGCTGCATGAATGCCTAGTGGCACAAATGAACCAGCTACATGCAAGAGGTTCCCACCCTGACTGGCTAACACAAGGGAGATCAATACTAGTCATGAAGAACTCTCACAAGAGAACAACCCCATCTAACTACCGACCAATCATCTGCCTTCCCACAAGATGAAAGGTTCTGTCAGATATCAGAACCTCCAAGATCAATTGGCATATGAGTCAATATATGTGCAATACTCAAAAGAGGATTGGAAACAACAACAGAGGATCAAAACACCAACTACTGGTACTCCAAACAGTCATTCGGGAGTCTAAGACCAGACAGACCAATCTGTGCACAACCTGGAGCGTGGATATATATACATAGATATAGAAACACATGTGGAATGTATTTAATTATGAGGCACTGCCAACTTCTACTTTAACTATATGCCTCCAATGCGTGATATTTCTACATTTATCTTGAATATTTTGTCAAATGTATTTTCTTTTCTTCAATATGGGTTTAATACAACTCACTTTTTCAAGTATTATATGATTAAGTAATTTGATATAATATGTCAGCTTGTTAGATGCTCTAGAGTAGTTTTTGATCTGGTCTGCAGGGTTTTCTCTTGGCCTGTATCCAGGTATAAAGAAGTGGCTATCGAATGGCGGTCCACAAACCACATGTGATCTCCACCAGAACCTTCAAGGTGGTCCTTGTGGTGATAGAAAGTTACAGAGTAACCGACAGAAGCAAATAAAAGATCTTGAGTCACATGTGAAATAAAAATATAAAGATGGTAAAGAGATTTCAAATGTAAAAGAAAAAAAACTCAACTATGAGACATTAAGATTATACATAAGTTTAATAAAGTACTCAAGTACAGTGCTAAAATATCTGGAGCGCTATTTACTAAAGTTAGGAGTCCAAAGTAAATTTTAAACTTTAGTTCAGCCGAGCAATTTCTGCTATTTTTCATCTAAAATTTGGAATTCTCTCTGGTCTCCATGCCATTTATGATTATTTACACTTTAGCGCTATTCTTTACTCACAGTAGATACAGGCTTGTGTAACATCATGGAACCCTTAAATTCACAAACAATCAGAAATAATGGAAGATTGAAAAAGAAATTGCAAGTTGTTGGCCAGAATAGCAAGCTGGAAGAATAATTAAGCTGGACTTCCTTTTCAGTCTGAATATTTGGTCTAAAACCTGCAACTCATTTGTCAATAATGCGCCTCAAAGTGAATTTTAGGCTAAAATGTCCATGCATGAAATTCACATTAAATTTCCTAAACGACAGGAAGAGATAGATTCTTAGAATGTTTGGATCAAAGCTGCTCCTTTTTTTAACCACAAATGCGCTTCTTTCAAAGGGTTACATTGTAATTCCCTCACAAGTTGAAAACAAAGTTCTATTTGGGTATTTATTTTTTAACTCTTTATGTTCAGTGTTTCATTGACACAGCACATAAAAACTCCAGGCACCATGACCACGTCAAATCACTGAAGTTTGTTTTCCTGACACTTGTGATCCTTCCAGGTTGAATGTGAAGCATGAAGAGTATCTAGCTAACAAATTAGTGTTTATGGTAAAAATATTAATTAGACCAAGCTTTCTTGGCTGTTTCAACCTCACAACCTGCCAGCAACCAAACAGAGATAATGCACACTGGTGAAATAACTTTTTCATACCTATCCTATTCATTAAACAGCACTATTTATTTTATAACCTGCTATAACAGGAAGAAAATTATTACATAATAATCTGCCGGTAGAAACAAAACACAGTTAACAAACAGTACAAAAACAAAGCAGGATATGACAGTCCTTTCTGTCAGGATTAGCAAAGTTATTTAATAAAGTGTGGATTGTTAGCAATTCAAAGTGATTTTAGATTTTTAGGCCAAAATTGTTGAACTGGAGAAATTCACCAAGTTAGCTATAGTATCAGTTTGGATATTTCAAGCTAAAAATTAATGGATGGGTTTGGATGGCCAATCACAACCAACAGTACGTTTAAAGGACTACTCTAGGCACCCAGACCACTTCAGCTTAATGAAGTGGTCTGGGTGCCAGGTGCAGCTAGGGTTAACCCATTTTTTCATAAACATAGCAGTTTCAGAGAAACTGCTATGTTTATCAATGGGTTAAGCCTTCCCCTATTTCCTCTAGCGGCTGTCTCATTGACAGCCGCTAGAGGCGCTTGCGTGCTTCTCACTGTGATTTTCACAGTAAGAGAACGCCAGCATCCATAGGAAAGCATTATGAATGCTTTCCTATGTGACCGGCTGAATGCGCGCGTAGCTCCTGCCGCGCGTGCGCATTCAGCCGATGGGGAGGAGAAGAGGAGGATCGGAGGAGAAGAGCTCTCCGCCCAGCGCTGTAAAAAGGTAAGTTTTAACCTCTTTCCCCTTTCCAGAGCCGGGCGGGAGGGGGTCCCTGAGGGTGGGGGCACCCTCAGGGCACTATAGTGCCAGGAAAACGAGTATGTTTTCCTGGCACTATAGTGGTCCTTTAATGTGTAATAGTAATGTAGGACCCTTTCGTTAAATGATTTTCCTCTTGCAGCTTCTCAAAGGTCTACCTACGGAGCAGATACATTTAACTCTGTGGTCCTTCTAGACCTTACACAGAGCTCCACTGTTTGCCACAAGTGTTAAAACCACAAGCACACACAATAAAGATCTTTCAGCAACCTTAGTTTTGCCTTTCATTGAACAGTCTCTAAAAATGCCAATGAAGAAAATAACACCAAAATTACACTATCTGTTATACATTATTTCCTGGCTAGAAAAATATAACCTGCACTCTTAAATTGAGGGATAAAGCCAGGAAGGGAGTTTCAAAGATGGACCTACAAGACAAGGTGTGACATTTCACCTTTCAAACTTCCTCCTGTACTTTATTTAGCAAGAGAAGATAACATGGCTGACAGTTAGAGACTCGCAAAATGGATTCCCTGCCATGTGTCTAGTCAAACAAAGATATATAAAATATCCAAAGGTAGATAGTGGGCAGGTAAACTACTTTCTACATGTAATCCACATTCATTTTGGGGCTGGGGATAAGGGTCTCTGATTGCATTTGGGGCTGGAGGTTTTATTGCCCTGATGAGTCGTCATGAACAAATGTGTGTTAGTGTTTTATCCCCTTTTTTAATATTTTAATTTATATTTTTACCCGCAAAAATGACTGTGTTTCAGTGTGGCCACCCTTTGCTATTAAACTTAACTGTAAGCGCACGTGGTTAGTTACACCTCACACAGACTTTGCTATTGTTGTGACATCTGCAATATGCTATATCAATACAATATGCTATATCTCTGGAATTTAGAAGTTAAATCACGTTGTTCGTGCAGCCCTAGTCACACTTCCTTTAAAGAGTCATATAATGTTTACACTTCCTTTAAAGAGTCATATGATGTTTACACTTCCTTTAAAGAGTCATATAATGTTTACACTTCCTTTTTTGCAAATCACGCACATGAGTCTCCTGCAGTGTCCAGCAAGATATTAACAGAGCACTAATTAAGAAATTCTAAATTAAACAGAATTAGCAAAAAAGGAAGTGTAAACATTATACGACTGTTTACAGCAAGCATGTCAAACTCGTGGCCCCGCAGGCCGCATGCGGCCCACAATGGACACTTTTGCAGCCCGGCGAGCCGTGGGTACATGCTTAGTGTTAAAGCAGAGTAGGCACCTGCTTTCTCTGCATTTCAGTTTCCTACTCTGCTAAAATTTACCCGGCCGAGGAGGAATCAGGACGCTGACGGCAGTGAGAGAGCTCAGTCTTCCTGCTCTTCACTGCACCCTCGCGCACGCCGTCTGTAGTGGTGCCAGAATATGACGTTATATTGCGGCACCCGGCATTACTAAATTGCGAGCAAGGGAGCAGTGAGGAGCAGGAAGGAGATCTCCAGCTAGAAGATCCCCACTGGACCCCAGGGAATGATGTGAGTGTGTGC